ACTAGCCATTCCCTTCACACTTCCCTCTGGAGTCTGTGCTGTATTAATTTACACTTGTTTATAAATCATGGCATACAAGCGTTTAAGTAATACGGATTAAAGTGTCTGATCTGTCAAACTGCCAAGTACTCTAAAAACTCTCCCTGACCTCTCCCGTCTGAGACACTGCTACATGAAGAGGCACTAAACCACTGTGTGTTGATGGAATTCCTCCTGTATCCATTCCACTAGCTTACAGCTTGCTCCCTACCCTCCCAAAGGCCCTGTGAAAGGGGGTGCAGGGGCTTGGCAGATTAGGGTTGCCATGGCAGCCCCACTTCTCCCTGTGTGGCTCTGGGTAAGTCACTTTGTTATCTTTAGGCTGCCATCTCCTCACCTGTAAAATTGGGAGGTGGGAGGCGGGGGCTTAGAGTTGTGGTCTGTAAGCCCAGCTCAACATTCTTCATTTCTAGTTCCTATTTCCCAAATGGACAGCGATGTTCAGAGGGCCGGAACACTGCTCATTTACATACCTGGGTTGGGGTCTGGACTCCAGGATTGGTAAACAACGTAGCAAACACTGCCCACCCTAGTCCTAACCCTGGGCTCCAGGAAGACCACACGGTGTAGTTAGTTACCCACACTTGGGTCCAACTCCTGACTTTGCCACATGCTAGTTGTGTACTATAGTAAGTTGCTTGTTCTCTTTAAGCCCGTTTCCTCCTTTGTAGAATGGAGGAATGAGACACATGGGTACATTCCTTATAGTACATACCTTATAGGATTTATGTAAAGGTTAAATAAAATGAACAATGTAGTATACTCAGCAGAGTCGCTATCTCACAGTATATGCTTGACCAAGGTCAGCTGCTGCCCTAATTATTATTAGATGTACACAGTGGGCCTTCATGGATCATAGGATCATAGTATTGAAAAAGACCTTAGAATTCACCTAGAGCAAAGAGTAGCCTTCCGTTCCAGGCAGCTCCATTCAACAAGAAACATTTATAGAGTGCCTACTATGTGCCAATCACTGCATGAGGCATTTGAGGTTTGTACAGTCAATTAGAATGCACTCAGTGAATATTAGCTTGAAAAGGGGGGTGGGTAGGAATCAGGGTGACAGGGACACTTCCCCCTAAGGCTCCACGTAAACTTCCTGATAGGAACTTCCTGAGCTGAACTTACCTGCACCACTGCTGGCACATTTCCAGCAGAGACTCAGGCTGTACCCATGGGAAATGTCATATCCGAGGGACAGGGAGAGGCCCACCGCCTGTGTGAGGAACCAAGCCTGAAGGAAGGCAAAGCCATGTGGCACATCAAGCTGGTAGAGCTCCTTGAGCCCCTGCCTCCCACCTGGTGGGCCTCAAGGAGAAGGCAGCAGCAGAGCTGTAACTAGAACCAGACCCTCCTGTCATAGTAAGGAACTAGGACCACCTGGGTTGTCATCCAAATTCTCTGTTCTAATTGGCCTGGGACAGCTGGGAAACTCATTCTCTCTCTTTCCTTTCCTTTTTTAAAAAAGAAGGCACAGGTGAATGTTCTGGAGAAAGTCAAGGCCAGTCCAGCTACCGACACCCCTTAGCTTGGCCCTGTGCCGGGAGGGTAGAGTGTTGACTGCATTTTTCCGACTTAGGCCTGTGTCTGCCCCATCTGTAGAATGGGGATTATGCTAACTGCATTTCCCAGAAGGGATACTGAAACAAGTCAACATGTTAACAGACAACCATTAATTGTGAATCCAGGAAGTATATTACCGAGCTCTTCTCCCTCATTTTCCTCCCCTGCTCTCAGAGGCTCTCTAGTGTTCAAGGAACCAAACCTAAGCCAAACCTGTTGCCGTGGAGTCAATTCCAACTCACAGTGACCTATAGGACAGAGTAGGACAGCCTCATAGGGTTTCCAAGGAGCTGGTTGGTGGATCTGAACTGCCGATCTTTTGGTTAGCAGTCCGAACTCTTAACCAGTGCGCCACCAGGGCTCCATCAGAAAGGGAAGGGGTTAAGATCTGGTGAGTTCTGATTGCATGTTAGACACTTCACAGCCATTTAATTTTATTTAACTTCACAACAATCCTAAAGGGTTATTCCTTATTATAGATGAGGAAACTGAGTCACAGAAGGACAAGTGATCTGTCAAAGTTGTTCAGTGGTTCACTTGAGAGAGGAGACAGGCGCTGTTGGTAATAACGAGGTTGGGGGGCTTTCACGTTGCTCTTTTCTTCATATGACAAGGGACAGCTGCCCTGAACACACACGGCTAAGGAGCCCTAGTCCTGAAAAATGCAGTTAACTCTCATTTATCCATATCACTGGAGGGGTATAGATCATCCAATTCCTTTCTTTTTGGCTCTGACATTTACGATGCATTTTATGATTTTTTTAGAGGCAGAGCTACCCTCTTGGGTATATACTTCTGAAAGGCAGCTACTAAGACGAATTTTTCTTCTCTGAGCCCACATATCCCTGAATGCGTGGGGAGCTGGTTGGGCTTAAACCAGGGCTTCATAACCCTGCTGAGAATTTGCATTTCTAACAAGTTCCCTGCTGAGAATTTACATTTCGATCCCCAGATATTCTGAATCAGAATCTACAGTTTACCAAGATCCCCAGGTGATTGTTATGTATAACTTCCTGGGAACTTGTTAGAAATGCAAATTCTCAGCAGGGGTTCAAATGGACTGAACCGGTTCAAAGCCCTGGCTTTAACAGGCTATGGAATATCCTCCCGTGGCAATGGAGAGTTGGCAATATCAGAGCAAAAGGGTTTAGCGAGGAGGGAATCCAGGTTCTGAGGAGAGGTCAAGGCTGCCTGGGTTGGTCCCAGAGCTGGCTGGTGTGGACAGGCCAGGCAGGGCCTGGGGTGGGAGGAGAGCAGGCTGGGAGTTCCTCAGTCTTCCCCTCACACCCTCTACTCCACACACCACCCCCGCCCCCCAGTGGGATCCAGAGAGTCAGCCCGGGCTGGCCTGCTGTGAGAACACACTTCAACGCTCTGGGCCCCAGCATGCTCAGCTTTCCCAGGTGAGCATCATCTTTTGTCCTGGGGAGAGTGTACCATAATCACAACCATCTTTCCAAGTAACCAGTGTTTCCCAGCCACTGCTGGGGTGGGAGGACATTTTGGAGGTGATTCGAGGAGCAGGGGAGAGACGGCTATTTTTCTGGATTAGCTCTCCCTGGGGGGGTGGAGGCTTCAGCTGCAAGGCCTGCAAATGAGCCAACTCCCACATCTCTCCACTCCTCCCAGCCCCTATGTCCGCTCCATCTCTGCCCTGATCAGGATGGGGCTCAGCACCAGCACATGTACCATGTTCCTTAAAGCCCTGGCCTGCAAGGGGATCAGAGCAGGCAATGAGCATCAGGGTCGGGAAAACCAGAGCTAGGGGATGTTGGCCACACAAGGAGCCTCAGCCCCAGGCAGAGAAGCCAAGTCAGCCCAGATGAATGCAATTGGCTGAAGCACCCACAGGGAATTTGTATTAATCCCAGACCACCACCCAGCCAGATTTGTGTGCATTCTGGAAATGCCAACTGTAGCAACTACAAGATCATTCTTAGAAAGAATAAGGAACGTAAACCTGCTACCAAGTGAGTGTGTGAGTGTGTGAGTGAATATGTGTGTGTATACACCTGTGCCTGTGCGTGGACACCACTGTCCCTGTGTAGACAATGTAGACAGAGGCACAGAAAATGTGGTGGTTGTATGCACAGGCTCTAAGAATCTGGATCTGTACCCTGGTTTGGTTGCTTACCAGATGGGTGAACCTGGGCAAGTGATTCAACTTGCAATACCTCTATTTCCTCATCTATAAAACGGGCATACTAATAGTACCTAGTTTACAGGACTGCTATGATTATTAAATGAGTTAATACACATAGAGTGCTTAAATTAATGCTTGGCACATGGTTCACACTCAATAACTATTATGATTATTAATGTTAATTTACCTGGGTAAATTAGCTGACAAATGTCACCTCTTCTTGACTTCAGACTGGAGCCATTATACATTCAACCACCTTATAGCAAAGTCCCTCTGATACTCTAAGGAGTCCTAGCGGCAAAGTGGTTACATGCTTGGCTGCTAACCAAAAGGTGAGCAGTTCGAACCCACCAGCCACTCCGTGGGAGAAAGATGTAGCAGTCTGCTTCTGTAAAGATTACAGCCTTGGAAACCCTTGGGGCAGTTCAGCATTGGAAACCCTTGGGTCAGTTCTACTCTGTCACATAGGGTTGCTATGAGTCGGAATCACCTTGACAGCAATGGACTATATCAACCAAAACCTTATCAAGTGGTCTAACTCGACCCACCTTGTGCTCTCTGGCTTGACTGCAAAGAGCTTTCGAATCAGCTAGAAGCTACAGTGCACCCATGGCTTTTGGATTATCTATGCAACCACCTTCTTCCCTTCCTCCCAATAATTGAATTGCCTGCTTTTACTCATTTATGTAGTGAGATTATCTACATAAATGGAATCATTTTAATATCTTGTCCTTACTTGGTTGTAATTGTTCAGTGGGAGGCAAACATGTCCTTTTCCCCTGGGAGATGCATATCTTGAGTATAGTGGGTACAATGAGCAGAGGTGTTTGTGATACAATCGATGATCATAATAATGAAATATGAAGTAATAATTAAAATGGCAACAATCACAATGACAATGATGGCAACGGTGACAGCCTCTAACATTTACCAAACACGTAAGTGTGCCAGGCACTGTGCTAAGTTCCTTTACAGGCATTGTTGCTGTTGTTGTTAGCTTCTGTCAAGACAGCCCCTAACTCATAGTGACCCCATGCACATGGCACAAAATGCTGCCCAGTCCTGCACCATCCCTATGATGAGTTGCAGATTGGACAGTTGTGAGCCATAGGGCTTTCACTGACTGATTTTCAGAAGTAGATTACCTGGCCTTTCTTCCTAGTCTGTCTTAGTCTGGAAGCTTCACTGAAATCTGTCTAGTCTCATAGCAACACACAAGCCTCCACTGATGGACAGGTGATAGTTGCACATGAGGTGCATTGGCCAGGAATCGAACCTGGGTACCTTGCATAGAAGGCAAGAACTCTGCCACTGAACCACCCATACCCCCTTACAGGCATTAGCTCTTCTTGTTTTGGCACAAGAGCAGAACTGCCTCTTTGCTGCAAATTGATGGGCAAACTTTCCTCATTCAGATGTGTCGAAGAGGGGCCAAGGGTGTGACATGCCTAGCTGAAGATTTAGAGAGCACGAGAGCATCCTCCTGGAATCCCAACCTCATTCAAATCCACAGAGAGAACAGTGCTTCTGCCCTTGGCAGAGAGCACCCCCAATCCTCTTTTCAATTATCTATACACACACATGCCCCCTCTGTAATTATCCCAACAAATGTGCTCAAGGAAAATAAACTCCACAAGACTGGCTTATAAAAATAGCAAAATGCACAGCACAGGACTGCTCTGTATAATTCATGCTGAAAACATGGAGATACCGTATTCTGATAAATTGTGCTTTTTGGAGTTTCTGTGTATTTGCTGATTACACGCAGGCACACACTCACAGACACACATACATACACAGATGGCCCCTCTATGGCTTGTATTTCAGTAAAGAGGACGGGAAGAGCCTACGTCTGAAGAATGGCTGTGCTCTTGGTGAGCTTTCAGTCTAGGGCTGGGAACCTGAGTGACGTGACTGGTGACCACATTTCTCAGTTCAGCTTGTTCAGCTTAATAAATATTTCTCAAGTTCCTGCTATATGCTGGCACCACGGTGAGCAGAGGGGCCACAGGGAGGAAGAAAGGTCCAGTGAAAGATGTAGACCCAGGAACAAATAAAAACATGATAATGTAGGTGTGATCACAATGCTGAGCCTGAGGACCAGGTAGGCTTCCTGGAGGAGGGGTCTAAGTTTTAAAGGATGAGTATGGTGGCTGGCAGGGAGGGAGGGAGGGTGGGAATGGTATTCTAGGCAGAGGGAACAGCAAAAGCAAAGGTGTTGGGCACCAAGAAACGGAGGGTAGACAGGGTTGGGGCAGGCAAGAGCTGAGGCTGGAGTGACAAGTGGTGGCCATGGCCACCTCACCAAGAAACTTGACTTCACTCTGTAGGCAGCAGGGGGCCACCAAGTGGCCACCACTCAGTCCTGTTAACCCTTCAGGGTCTGCTTTCATGCCACCTACTCAAGGAGAGCTTCTCTATGTCCCACCCTGATTAGATTAGAGCCCTCTGCTGAACGGTTAGCACAGTTAATCAAGAGTTCCAATTGGTCTCCCTGTCTTCAGTCTTGTCCCCAGCCCGAGATGAGTTGTAATAATCATTCATTCATTCAACAAACGTTTATTGAGTGATGCATGTGTACCAGGAACTGCGCTAGGCACTGGAGACGTGTCACTGAACAAGAAAGCCTAGTGCGGGAGACAGTGAAAATCACGTGAATAATCATACAATTCTTGTTGGAACTGTAAGCACCAGGATGGAAAGAGAAGAGGTGCTGAGGATGTTTGGCAGAGGGCTCACCTGGGGTCACCAGACTCCCAGGGGGAGTTGGTGGAGGCCTGGCTGACAAAGATGGATGGTTTTACCAGGAAGATGAAAAGGAAGTCTGCTGTTTAGATGGAATTCAAGCAGACTTCCTGGACAGGCTGGCTAGCTGTTCTACACCGGTGCTCATCCTGTTCAGAACTGTTCTCCCTCATTATAACAAGTCTGTGCCCTGGAGGCATAAGAGGGGGCTGACAGTGCAGCCATCTGAGCAACAACGGGCAGGGCTTCCTGGCTGCTTGGTCCTGATTCATGGGAATGGTCAAAGAGAAGAGGAAAGGATTCTCTACCTGGGGTCCAACTCCCAGCCTAGATACGGGCCAGGCAGCCTCATTCCATGCCCTGGGCGGGCCTAAATGCACAGAGGAGAGGAGGAGCAGAGAAGCCAGAGACAGAGGGTGCGAGAGAGGTCTAGAGGAATTACCCTACCTCCACCCAGCCTGCACTCCACTGCCGAGTTGGTCTTTCTAAAGTGCAGCATCGATCATGCCACTCTCCTACTCAACAACCTTCAGTGGCTCCTCATTGCCTTTGGAATGAAGCTGACATCCAAAGCCTAATATTCAAAGCCCCCTTTAGTCTGACCCTAATCTATCTTCCCAACATTCAGCTCACTTTCCCCCCAACGCCACTTTATTCAAGCCATAGGAGTCTTCCCACTGATTCGAGTCTCATAAAAACACACAATCACTCTCTTAGGGATGGAAGGAGCCTTGGAAATCACGAAACCTAGTCCTTCATTTTACAGACAAGGACATCCAGGACTAGGGAAAGTAAGTCATTTGCGTTGGGCTGAATGTAGAATTCACCACCACCATTCATTCATTCAACATGTATTAAATGTCTGTTCATGCAGACACTATCCTAATTCACGTAAGAATGTGGAACCTACCTTACCCATTTATTTAACAAATATTTATTAAGCACCTTCTAAGCTAACCAAGGAGCCCGGGTGGCAAAGTGGTTAAGAGCTCAGGCTGCTAACCAAAAGGTCGGCAGTTTGAATCTACCAGCCGCTCCTTGGAAACTCTATGGGGCAGTTCTACTCTGTCCTATAGGGTGGCTGTGAGTCAGAATCAACTCGACGGCAATGGGTTTGGGTTTTTGGCTTGATATGCGAGACCAGGAGCCAGGATGTAACAGTAAACGTATCAGTTAAGTCTCTGTATTCTTGGAGAATTGGAGAGCTTAGTAATCAGTAAGAAAGAGATAGGTCAGATAGTGAAGAACACTACGAAGAAGATTAGTGCAGGGGAGAGGACAGAGACAAGAGTGATGGTGGAGAGGCGAATTCTGTCTAGGGTAGTAAAAGAAGACCTCTTTCATACGTGGACATTTGAGCAGAAATCTGAAAGAAGTGAGCATTGTCTGGGGGAAGAGTGGTCCAGGGAGAGGAATCAGAAGCTGCAAAGGCCCCGGGGCAGAAGCATGCTTAGTGCACCGGAACAACACCAGGAGGCCACTGGGGCAAAGCACAGTGAGTAAGGGAGAGAGGGGTAGGCAGTGACCTCACAGAGGGATGGGAGCATTCCAGGCCAGGGGAAGGACTTTGGCTTTTACAGAAGTGAGACGAGATGCCACTGGGCTCCGAGGAGAGGAGGGATGTGAGCTGACTTAAGCTAACAAGAGTCAAGTAGACTCAATGCAGTGTAAGCCACAGAGGCACACAGGATGGAGTCAGGGAAGCTCCCACAGTAGGTTTCCAAAGCAGCATGAACAGGTGTCTGGGCAAGAGAAGAGAAGGGTGTGTGTGTGTATGTATGTGTTTGTTAGGTAAGGGGAAAGGAAAGAAGAGGATAATAATAGCTAAAAATAATACCCAACATTTACTGAGGACTCAGTATATACCAGGGACTGTGCTAAGTATTTTACAGGTATTGTAATATTTAAATATTCTGAAAGAAAACTCTATTATTCCCCTATTTTACAGATAAAGAAATTGAGGCAAAGGGAGGTTAAGTAACGTGCTTGAGACCACACTACTGGTAATGACTGAGCTGGCAGATAAACCCAGACCATCTGGCTCCAGAGCCTGTGTTTCTAACCACCACATGATGTCACAGAGTGGACAGCGTTCCAGGTGAAGGAGTGATGAACACCCGGAAATGAGAGAAGCAAGACGGGTGGGGAATCCGTCAGGCAGCTGGAGCACAGAGGGCTCTGAACCATGTTCCAGAGTGAAGGAAGCCCAGGCTAGGGCAGGTCAGAAGTGCTGTGCCGTGGGAGGAAGATGGTCCATCTCAGCCCTGGGGAGCCCAAAGTCTGAGGGCGGGGCAACCCCAGGCCCCTGCAGGCCTCATGTAGCACCTATCTCCCAACTGCTGAGATAATTCCTAACAATGGAAGTAGATCCTGGCTACTCAAAGTGTGGTTCCTAGACCAGCCGGAATTAGCATCACCAGAGAGCTTGTTAGAAATGCAGAACCTCAGGCCCCACCCAGACCTCCAGAACCAGAATCTGCATTTTAGCAAGATTACCAGGGCATTCATAGTGGATCCAGTAAAATTTGCAAAGTTCTGTTCTCGATCTCAGGCCAAACATCATTTCTTCCAGGAAGCCTAATTTGACCCCTCCCAGCCCAAAGACAAGGTCACAATCCACAATTTTATTCTCTCAAAGCAGCTTCGAATCCTCCTTCATAGCATTTACCACATTGTCACTCAATTGTTCTCAGACTTGGCTGCACATAGGGAGATGTGAACATTGCTGAGGGTCAACTTCACCCCTCACCAGTTAAATTAGAACCTCTTGAGGGTTGAGACCCAGGTACTGGTATTTTTTACAACCCGCTCCCCTGGTGTTTCCAATGTACAATCAAATGTTTTAACTCTTGTTACTAAATGCTTCATATCTCTCTAAGTCCTGTGAGAGCAGGGACTATGTTTGCCTTGATTACTGCTGTTCTCAACTTTTAGAACCAAGCCTGGCACAAAGTAGGTGCTCAAAAAAAAAAAAAAAATGGCTCAAAGGGAAGGAGGAAGGAAGGGTATCCCTCTCTCACAAACGTATTTCAGAAGAGCAGCTTGTTGTTAGTTGCCATTGAGTTGGCTCCGACTCATGGTGACCATATGTACAACAGAACAAAATGTTGCCTGGTCCTGCACCATCTTCATGGTCCTTGGTATGTCTGAGTCCACTGGTGAGGCTATTGTGTCAATCCATCTCATCCCTTGTGTTTTGCTGACCAAACATAGGAAGAAGAGTAGCTGACGCCATTTCAGGGTTACAAAGAACAGGCTCAGAGTGGGGCTGTTGGCCAACCTCTGTCATTAAACCTGAAACATGCTCCTCCTCAATAACCATCCAACGCCCACCTGGCTGGGTGTCACTCTGTGTCTCACCAGACAAACCAAGAAGTCTCAGTGTGGGGAGGAGGGGCACAAGTCCGGTGCCTCCTGTCTGTTAGGACCGTCTTCTAGGATCCCCTCCTTCTGCCCAGTCCTGCCGGAGCTGCCTCTACATGTAGTGGGTTGAACAGGTCCTCAGTATAATACAATCTGAAGTCCCTGGGTGGTACAAATGGTTAACACGCTTGGCTTGTAACCAAAAGGTTCGAGTCCAC